CATGGACTGCCAAAAGAACCAATAGATCTGTTTTGGAAGAAGTGCAGTCAGAGTGCTCCTTGAAGGCCAAGATGGCTAAACTTCGTCTCTCATACTTTGGACATATTGTCAGGAGGGAACTGTCACTCGAGAAGGATATCATACTTGGTAAGAAGGGGGTCAGAGAAAAAGAGGAAGACCCTCAATGAGATGGATTTGCCAGGTGGCAGCATTGATGACCTCAAGTGTGGCAGTGGTAGTGAGGTTGGCCCAGGATCAGACATTGTTTCGGTCTGCTGTGCATGGGATCGCTATGAGTCAGTTCTGACTCTATGGCACCTGACAACAACAACAACATTGTAATGTACAGAGCCTTAGTGCAATCCTAAGCCCCATTCAGAACCTTCTGAGGTGGAACAGTCTCACTTGAAATTGCAAGCAGATCACCCTGGAGCAGTTAGAGAAACTGAAGATGCTTCTTGAAAGAAAGACCAGCAGGAAACACCCAAAACAAACAGAAACATGTTTGTAAGCTTGCTGGAGACCACGTTGTTCTACTGTTGAGTGGGAGTGAAGGAAAGACAGCAATGAAGATATGGGCTGAGTTCAACCACGTGCCATAGACTCCCGTGGACCTAGAGATGAAAGAGAAAGAGGAAGAGCTGGTTGGTTCAAAGTATGGTGAGACCTGGGGACTCTTGAGTCCATGGGTAAGGAAATGGCCATGGAGGGATAGAGCTGAGAGTGAAACATCTAGCTGATATGAAGTGAGGGGAGACGCACAAGAACACCCAAACTTTTAGATAGTACCTAGCATCAATTGCTTGCTGATCAGAACTCAACTAGAGGAAGGTTACAAAAAAAATGATAAAGGGAACAAGTGTAAATTACTACAATTTGATGTACTTGACCTATCCTTATGGATGTAGTCACTCAAAATAACAATTGAGGGGAAAGGAGTCTTCACATCATGGATCAATCCTATCCCCTCTACATACAGGTTTGAAAGGGATGGACAATTTATACACTGGCTATGTAAAATGGGGGAGGAAGTGTTAAAGAGGTATGAAGTGACTTGCCTACAAGTTTTCAAGAGGGAGTTTAGTTTCAAAGTGCGCGGGGGAAGGTACAATCCCCACTGAATAGTTTTCATCTTGACTAGACAGGTCTGGTGAATGGAGAGTGTTATGATTCATAAGATTCTCATGATTCAAGAGTGAGTAATCGTAACCATGACTAACTATGACTGTCACAACTGTAAAGGTAGGTTTTGTAACAAAAATGGGGGAGTAGTTAATCTTATATTCCAGGAACAGAGAACCCTAGGACCGTCAAGGGAGAAGAGCCTGAGTGGAATATGGGAGGCTATCCAGAGAAGTGACACCAAAGATCGAGGCAGAGATGATGACATGGAGAGATAGAACAGCTGAAGACTCATGGAAAGAGAACATCTATGTGCTGATGGCTAGGAGGCAGGCTTTCAGAATGTGCCCTTGTGTTGTTTAAATGATTATAGACTCCTGAGTGTTTTTGTGTATATCCACTCCCCCCAAACAACCAAACAAACAGAGGGAATATAAGCAAATACTGTTGAATGATGATGAACAGAGGGGTTTGTAATCATTGCAATGAAACGATGAGTGTAAAACTGGTGTTCTCCCATGCAAACTGTCACTCAATTCACAGTAAAAACTTTAAGATAGATAGATGATAGATAGATAGATAGATAGATAGATAGATAGATAGATAGATAGATGATAGATAGATAGACAAATGAGTTGACATATTTGTTCTTGGACACTTTAAAGAGGTCTTGTGCAGCAGATTTGCCTAATGCAATACGTCGTTTGATTTCCTGACTGCTGCTTCCATAAATGTTGATGGTTGATATGGACTAAATGAAGTCTTTCACATCTTCAATCTTTCCTCCATTTATCATGGTGTTATTTACTGGTCCAGTTGTGAGGACTTTTGTTTTCTTTAAATTGAGGTGCAATCCATACCAAAGCTGTGGTCTTTGATCTTCATCAGCAACTATTTTAAGTCCTCTTCACTTTCAGCAAGCAAGATTGTACCATCTGCATATCACAGATTGTTAACAAGTCATCCTCCATTCCTGATGTCATGTTTTTCTTCATATAATCCAGCTTTTTGAAATATTTGCTCAGTGTACAGATTAAATAAGTATGGTGAAAGAATACAACTCTGGCATAGACCTTTCCTAATATTAAACAATTTAGCATTCCTTTGTTCTGTTCAAATAACTGCCTCTTGGTTTCTGTACAGGTTCCTTATGAGTACAATTAAGCATTCCGGAATACTCATTCTCTTCAATCTTATTCATAGTTTGTCATGATTCACAAAATCAAAAGCTTTTGTGTAGTGAATAAAGCACAGTTAAACATTTTTCTAGTATTCTCTGTTTTCAGCCAATCTCCATCTAACATCATTATGGTAAATTGGGTTTTCATTATCATTTGTTTCTAGGAAATTTGTGAATTCATGTTTTACTTTTTCTACTACCTAGTCACTTTTCAGCAGGGTGTTATTAAGTTTCCATGTATTTGACTTTATTTGCTTGGTATTCCTATAGTTGATTTCTAATTTGATAGCATTGTGGTCTGAGAAGATGCTTTGTAGTATTTTGATGTTTGTAAATTTATGAAGGCTTGTTTTATGGCCTAACACAAGGTCAGTTTTAGAGAATGTTCCATGTGCACTGGAAAAGAATGTGTATTGTGCTGTTGTTGGGTTGAATACTCTGTACACATCTAAAAGGTCCAGTTGGCTGATTATGCTGTTTAGTTCCTCTTTGTCTTTGTCGAATTTCTTTCTGGTTGTTCTATCCATTTATGACAGTGGTATATTAAGATTATCCACTATGATTATAGATTCATCTATTTCTTTCTTCAAATCTATTAGAGTTTGCTTTACATATTTTGGAGCTCTTTCATTGGGAGCATAGATATTTATTATGGTTACATCATCTTGTTCAATTGTCCCTTTAATCATGAGATAATGTCCATCTTTATCTATTATGTTCATTTTTGCATTAAAGTTTATTTTATCAGAGATTAGTATTGCCACTCCTGCAATTAGCTGGGTATATTTTTTTCCATCCTTTGACTTTTAGTCTATTTTTTCTCTATATTTAAGGTGAGTCTCTTGCAGACAGCATATTGAAAGATCTTGTTTTCTTATCCATTCTGCCACTCTCTGTCTCTTAAATGGTGCATTTAATCCATTTACATTCAGTGCAATTATCAATAAGTATTGATTAATTGCTGTCATTATGTTTTATTTTTTGTGGTGCTGCTGGTTTCTTTGTTCTGCATGTCTTCCTGTGCTAAGTTCATGTTTTTTGTGTTCTTTCTTGTCAGTTTCCTCATAGTTTCAATGCTTTCATATTCTTCTTGGATTTTCATTTTTCTTGGTATGTTGTGAAGTGTTAATTTTCTTTGAGGTTACCTTATATTCCATGAACTTTTCTCTCCATTTAGTGCAGTCTATTTTATCCTGTAATCTACCTGACCTCCTCACCACCTGGATATCTGTTCTTACATGATTACCTTCTTTCACATTTTAATTGTTTTGATCATAGACTGACCTCCCAGATCCTCTGAATATAGCCTTATAATTTTTTCCTGTTCTCGACTCTTCCATTTGTTGACTGAGTTCTGGGTGTTTCTGCCACATAGTCAGTCTCTGGTTGTTGTCTGTTCTTGTTGGTTCTCAGTTCAAAGAACTCCCTTTAGGATGTTTTGCTGCTCATGGTTGGCTATGGAAAAATCCCTTAACTTCTGTTTATCCTGGAATTATTTGATTACACCATCACATTTGATTGACAGCTTTGCTGCGTAGAGAATTCTTGGTTGGCATTTTTTTTTTTTCTTTTTCTTTCAGGGTTTTATATATGTCTCTGCATTGCCTTCTTGCCTGTCTGGTTTCTGGTGAGAGATCTGAGCTTAATCTGACTTGCTTGCCTTTGTATGTAATACTTCTCTTTTCCATAGCTGCTTTCAGTATTGTCTTCTTATATTTGACTTTGGAGAGCTTGATTATGAAATGTTTTGGTGATTTTCTTTTAGGGTCTATTCTTCATGGGGTTCGTTGAGCTTCTTCAATGCTTATCTTTTCACTTTTAAGCATGTAGGGCAATTTTCTTCCAGCAGCATTTCAACAATCTCTTCTGTGGACTTGTGTGATTCTTCCTGTTCTGGAATGCCAATAATTCTTACGTTATTCCTCATCATATTGTCAAACATGAATCTTAGACCGTCTTCAAAAATTTTTTATCCTTTTTTCTGCTTGCTCGTCTATCTTAATAGTATTGAGAGATTTGTCTTCCAGATCACTAGTTTTCACTTCAATTCTACTCCTTTGCACTTTTATTTTTGATCCATTTCTGATATTCTATTATTAATCATTTGGACCTCTTTCTGTAGGTTTTGAATGGTTTCCAATGCTGTGTCTATCTTATTTAATTGCTCCTGTAGTGCTTTCCTGACTTCTTCCTTATTTTTCTCAACTCCATTGTAAAGTGTTTTGATACATTTTATAATCATTTTTCTGAATTCCTTCTGAGGCATTTCTGAAGCCTGCCCTCATTCCAATATGGAGTGTAGGTCTGCCTCCAGTTCATTTTTCTCAGTCACTTTATCTTGTTTGTGGACATGTCCTGATACGGTCATCTGTTTCTGTTCTTGAGCATATTCAGTAGTTAGTTGTGGCCTTAATATTTAAATGAGTGTGTGTTTTGGTATTTATTTATGCTTTCTTATTGCCTCCAGGTAGATGTGATCAGGATATGGTCTTCCCTTTTCACTCTTCTTATTACTTGACTCAGAATATCTGTCACAGGTGTTGACTGCCTACCTGGTGCATGGCAGATGGTATTGGTTCTTGCCTGGGTTATGGGATTTTATAGGGTGTGATTGTAGCTTGACTATATGACAGCAATTTCTGTCTATTCTTGGGTAATAGAGGGAGAGAAAGAGCCCCCTAAAGATAGAGGGTACCAAAAAACAAAATAGCAAAAGAAAAAAGACAGATTGGATACTGTAGTCTATAATCACAGAAAAGAGAGAGAGAGAAAAAAAAAATATGTAGCCTAATATGAGTATGACTTTAATATCCTCTTACAACTTCTTTCCCTCAAGGCCACCTGAGAAATTTCAAGATGCCACTGTTGGTCATGTTGGCGTAACTCAGGACTTAATTTTCAGCCTGTTTCTTTTTAAATCTATATCTCTCCCCTTCCACAACCCCTGTTCTGGCCTTTTTCCTTGTGATAAATAGTTCAGGGCTGGCTGTGGTTGTTTTGGGCTGCCATTTGGTTTTAAGTGACACCCTTCCCTTTAAATTTTGAGGAGATCTGTGAGCATGCATAGTAGAACCTTCTGGGGTTGGCAGGGTGTCGACTCACTCAGGCACCCCTTCTAGGCACTAGATGGAGGTACGCAGACAGCAGGAGTCCAGTGAATACATACCGAAAAAAAGAAAAGAAAAGAAAACGAATGTCCACACCTTTATCTCCTCGGTTCCATCAAGCTTCAGTTCATGGCAATTTTGATCCTTCCCCTGCTTGGTCTTGCCCAAGATGGTGGCTCCGGGGACCTTTGAGTCTGGCAGATTTGAAAGCATGAGATTTCTTGCTTCTGCTACAAATGCCACTGGCTATAAGCCTTCAAACTTTAAAAAATATTCCTATATATTTGGTTCAGAACTCTGGAACTGTCCACAGAACCTGCTTCATCTGGTATTCTGTGTTACTGCTGGAAATCCTCACTGCACTTTTACCCTATCACCATCAAGCCCTGCCTTGATCATTGGCTCTTAATTTCAGCCTCTTGGAATGGTTGAACATCAACCATTTCTTTTTGATACAGTAACCCTGTATTCTTTCCACCTACTTTTAATACTTTCTGCATCATTCAATATTTTGCCCATTGAATCCTTCAAGATTTCAAGTCTAGGCTTGAATTTTTCCTTCAGTTCCCTCAGAATGGGAAATGCTATGTATTCTTCCCTTTTGATTTTCTAATTCCAGATCTTTGCACATTTCATTATAATATTTGACTTTTTCTTCTCAAACTTCTCTTTGAAATTTTCTTTTCAACTCTTTTAGCTCCTCATTTTTTCCATTTGCTTTAGCATCTCTATGCCAGAGAGCAAATTTGAGAATCTTCTGACATCCATTTTGGTCTTTTTCTTCTTTCTTGTCTTCTTAATGACCTTTTGCTTTTGTCCTATATGACATTATGGGTGTCATCCCACAACAATTGAGGTATTCGGTCTATAGTGTCTAATTCATCAATTCTGTTCTTGAGGTGATTTCTAAATTCAGATGGGATATGTTCAAGGTCATATTTGGTTCTTATGGACTTGTTTTTAGTTTCTTCAGCTTCAATGTGAATTGTCATATGAGAAATTGATGGTCTTCTCCACAGGCTTTCCTGGCCTTCTTTTGACTGATGATATAGAACTTTTCCACCATCTCTTTCCACATATGTAGTCAATTTTATTTCTGTGTATTCCATATGGTGAGGTCCATGTGTACAGTCATCTTTTATGTTGTTAAAAAAAAAAAAAGTATTTGTGACTCTCTGCTCCTCCCCTTCAACAGGCAGTTGTAGCTTCTCTTGCAGGATCAGCTGCATCCCGGAAACAGGATGGTGATGGTCGGAGTCAATGGATTTGGCTGTATTGGGTGCCTGGTCACCAGGGCTGCTAACTCTGATAAAGTGGAGGTTGTTGCCATCAACGACCCCTTCATTGACCTCAACTACATGCTCTACATGTTTCAGCATAATTTCACCCATGGGAAGTTCAATGGCACTGTCAAGGCTAAGAATAGGAAGCTTATCATCATTGAGAAGCCCATCTTTATCTTCCAGGACGAGATCCTGCCAACATCAAGTGGGGTGATGCTGGTGCTGAATATGTTGTAGAGTCCACTGGTGTCTTCACAACCTTGGAGAAATCTGGGGCTCACTTGAAGGGTCGTGCCAAAAGGGTAATCACCTCTACCCCTTCTGATGATGCCCCCATATTTGTGATGGGCATGAACCACAAGAAGTATGACAACTCCTTCAAGATTGTCAGCAATACCTCCTGTACCAACAACTGTTTGGGCCCCCTGGCCAAGGTCACCCATGACAATTTTGGCATCGTGGAGGGACTCATGACCACAGTCCCTGCCATCACTGCCACCCAGAAGACTGTGGATGATCCCTCACAGAAACTGTGGCTTGATGGCCATGGGGCTGCCCAAAACTTCATCCCTACATCTACCAGTGTTACCAAGGTTGTGGGCAAGGTCATTCCTGAACTGAATGGGAAACTCATTGGCATGGCCTTCTTTGTCCCCACTCCCAAAGTGTCTGTCGTCACCTGCCTGACCTGCCGCCTGGAGAGAGCTACCAAATACAATAACATCGAGAAGGTGGTGAAGCAGGCATCAGAGGTACCCCTAAAATGCATCATGGGTTATGCTAAAGACCAGGTCATCTCCTGTGACTTTTACAGTGACACCCACTCTTCTACCTATGATGCTGTTGCTGACATTGCCCTCAAAGACCACTTTGTCAAGTTAATTTCCTGGTATAACAGTGTATTTGGCTACAGCAATGGGGTGGAGGATCCTATGGTCCACATGGCATCCAAGGAATAAGAGCCCCCTGGACCACCAGCCCTAGCAACAGCACTAGAGGAAGAGAGAGGCCCTTGGCTGCTAGGAGTACTTACCTCAACTCTACCCCCCTATACACTGAGAAGCTGACATCCTCACAGTTTCCATCTGGAACCCCTGGAGAAGGGGAGGTGCTTAGAAAGTCCCGTCTTGTCATGTACCATCAATGAAGTACTCTATTAAGCCAAAAAAAAAAAAAAAAA